AGGCTATACAAGCATTACTATTACAATTTTACGGAAATTTCGTCCGCAGGATCGACACTCATGTATACGCGCTGTTTTCGGGACTTTCACCTTAGACACACGGGCTAACTTATTTGATGTAACAACAACTTTCTCCGAGATTCACCATTTCATTTACTCTTTTCAATAGTACAATACATGTAACTCAAAATATTATTTTTCCAAAACAATGCAAATGTTCTAAAACATAATGTAAGAATTTCCAAAACTTCTTTTCAAAACATATAGTTTCATTTTCCAAAATCCATTACATGCTCCATGATACGAATGATTTCAAATTGCCTAATCCACGTACAATTTCTAACACACGACAATGCTATCCTCCACTGATAGCCAAAATAGTTATCTCTAATACAATAACTTAAAAGATAATAATATAGATATATTTTCTAAAGGAGTAACAACAACCATTTCCAAAATCCCAAAACCATTTTCTTTCCAACTCTTACAAAGCCAACATCATTTTTCATTGTTTTCTAACACAAGCAAAAACCATGGTTTTAAAGCAAAACCTCATTTTCTTTCAAAATCACTTTTGAGTAAAGGAAAGCCACCACGTCAACATATCTCAACACCAATACAAGATCATCACCTGTTTCAAGAATTCAATTGAAAATCTCTATTTTACATTTGAAATCCAAATCCCAAGTTTAACCCAAAACACCCAAATCCATAGATCTTTTGAAATAACAAATAACAAGGGTAGAAATCATACCAAATGACTACCAAATATACATAACAAAATTGGTCACAAATATGCTACCGAACTGATATTGAGTTTAAGAAATAGACCTTACCTCTTGAAGCGAAGAGGAGAACTCCGAAAAACTCAAAGTCGATGAAACCATGAAACTCTTGGATTAAAAGAAAGCTCTTGACGAGATCTACAATCTTTCTCAAAGGACCAAGGTGGAGGGATGCCTCTACGTGAGTAAATCTAGAGATCTAAGTGAAAAAGGTGAGTTTCTAAAAGAGAGAGAAAGAGAGAGGAAAAGGTGAATGAAAAAAAGTGTGTTTAGGGCCTATTTATAGTGGTAGAATAATAGCCCTAAAGTCAAGGAAAGAATAAGTCAGACCCCCAAAAGTAGAGCCCCAAAACCGAACAAAAAATCTAGAATTTTACTCACAGGGGTCAACCCTTTAGGCAGAGGTGCTGACCTTTAGTAAGAAAAGCTGAGACACTAATATGTGTAAAGGACAAGGGTCGACCCTTGGAACCAGTGGTGTTGACCCTTTATTTCAGAATGTAACCCAGAACAAAATAATAAAGGAAGGGTCGACCCTAGGAACTCAGGTGTCAACCCCAAAAACCAGCAGAGGCACTAAGAATAAGGCAACAAAGTGGTGTCGAACCCCAGAAAGGAAAGTGTCAACCCCAGAACAAATTTTCCAAGTTTCCAAAGAACTTTTCAACGTAAACAAGTGCGAACGAACAATCCTAACAAGTCTAAATTGAATCGTACTCCTCTAAAACCAAAATACAATAACTCCAAAGACTCCCAAAATCAAAATAAAGGAATTAAATATACTCTCCAATAGTTTAAAGGACCCAAGTGCTACACTTTCAGTTTTTAACAAACTCCATATAAGATACCTCAAAATAATCCACACATTTACTGGCCATCAAGCACAGTAAGGCAAGTGGGCACCTCTTACTTTTTGAAAACCTTCCCATTTACCAACCACCAAGCACAAAGAGCCAATTGGACACCCGTTTCACTTCAAAAACATCTCCATACCTTCCGGCCACCGAGCACGAAGGGGCGATTGAACACCCATCAATCATTTCAACATTTTCTCCACATTTACCAGCACTTAGCATGAAAGGGTAATTGGGCACCTTTACCAGAATACCAATGACATCCCCACATTTTTCGACCACCGAGCATGGAAGGGCAATTGGGCACCTCACACACACAACACATTCCGAAACCACACACACACCTTTAAATAATCCAATATTTAATCCAACACCATGGAATTGCAATGCAATGTAATGCATGAGTTTTTAAAACTTCCTCTTTATCCCAAAATTCCTTTTTAATTGCCGAAGAGTTCAACAAGTAAAATCTAATGAACTATTCTCATTTTCAAGACTCCACGTTTTACTCTCTACCAACCATCAACCCATGCAAAACATTACCTTACATCCTTTCACAATTCCAAGTATTCACACAATTCAACTTATTTAAATCACAAACAAATATCATCATAGATAATAAAGTTAACCACCACACATATTAAAATGAAAAATCGCATTAATTTTCAACATAAGGTACCGATTAACTTAAACACTATTTTAATTTAAAAATCCTAGTCCTAGGGTTTTCAATAAAATTGGGGGTTTTGCAAATTTCTTTGTTAAATTCTCAAATCATCATGTATTAACCATCAATGTACCAAAACATTCTAAATCTTTCAAAAGTTTGGGTGAAAAACCCAATTTTGAAATATGAACTTATTTTAATAAAAAATTTCAAACTCAAATCAACCCATACTTCCCATAATACATCAAAATCAAACAAAATCATAATTGATTGAGTTAAGAGAACTTCCTGCCTCAAGAAGGTGAGCAAAGAACGAAGACCCAAGCATGAACTTTGACGAAATCGCAATCCAATCAGCTAAGAGGAAGATCCTCACTCATTCTTCACAAATCTTGCATGATCTAAGGTGGATCCTTGGTATAATAAGATGAAATCAAAGGTTTTATGGCTAGGGTTTTCGGACATGAAGAGAGGAGGGAGAGAAATGAGTGACAATAAGCAAAAAGTGGCTTTTATACTGGTTGATCCCAAACAAACCGCTCAAGCGCACTTTCCTTCAGTCGAGCGAAGTACCAACATACAAAGATACCACTCGAGCGAACCTTTTACCGCTCGAGCGGTAAACGCAAGGTCTCAGAAGTTTGCATAACTACAGTGAAAATACTGGGAGTTTGCATTCTATGCTTGAGCGACCAATCCTTTGCTCGAGTAGTGTCGCCTGCAAACCTGTGAGATGCTAGGAGCTACAGATCTTTGCTCGAGCGGTCACCTAAAAATAGCCGTCACATGAAACATTTCATCATCTTTACATCTTGTGGCGACGAATTATTTCCTTGCCAATGATCAACATGTGTGACAAAATATTTTGTCAGCAATAGTTATATATACGGTGACAAATTTAATGAATTTTTGCAAGGAAATGTTGTCTAATTAGTGACAAAATTTTTTGTCACTAAAGTATATTATTATTGACAGAATCATTTTTCCTTATAGTGATTTTTGCAGCAAATATACAGTGACGAAACTGGCGACCAAAATATTTCCACACGAATATCTATAGTGAAGAAATTAGCATTTTCGAGACCAAAAAAAGAAAAAAAAATCATCATTGAAAACAAAATTCGTTATAGTGATGTTGGTATGTTTATTAATTTAATCACATAATTTAAATCGCAAACATAAAAGTTAAATCAACCACACACAAAAAAGATTCAAAAATTTTTTAAATTGAAAACCCAACAGGGAGAAATCACATATCTAGTCGAACCAACCAATTTACTATAAAGAACAAAAGAAAACTTGCAATTTACAAACCAACTTTAATTGAATCAATAGTATCAAACCAACGAACAAGCTGGCATGTTCCTAATACTGAATGAATTCATGATCTATGTCTGAAATAGTTGGTTGAGTATTGAATTCAAAATACCAACGACAAATAGAACACAACCGACCCATCCACCTTTTTGGAATCGACATATGCATTACTAATATACGAACAATAATGGAGAATAAATCATAGATAAACCAATCGATAATTCAATAGCATATGACTGGTTCAATGTTTTGCAGGCATGTTTTGATCCTCCCTTATAGTTTTATTTATAGTTAACATGTCCTAAGATGACTTACAGATCTTTTAAGGTGTTTATATGTTATAAATTAACTTACATTTGTCAGAAGTAGTACCTCTCACTCAAGCCCATGAAAGCTCACTTGATCACACTTCAAATTGAGCATAATGATCATAGTTAGATTTGCTAAGATTTTTGCGAAAATACCAATTACGTCCTTTGACATAATTCGATGCGTTATTAGCTTGTATTTAACACTTATTTGACTTGTTTGCACACCAAGTTGATACCAAAGTATATTTCCATCCAAAATCCATTTGAACTGCACTAACTTAACTCAATTTGGACTTCTAAAAGTAATTACAATTACAACACGCAATTAGAAATCACATAGATTTTGCCTAAGGGTTACCAAACCTAGTTAGAATTGAACTCTTACACTAGATAAGTAAAGAAAACAAGTAATCTAATCATCATATTTCTTCTCCATTCTCCAATTACTTGCTCTAATAAGGTCAAGGTCGAAAAAGACTAGGACTTCAAATAAGAGTAAATGCCAATGCCCAATGTAGTATGGGAAAAAAAAAATCAGTTTGCTAATGCCAATTATATAGGTTGATATAGATTTTTCTTATCCCCATGATTTTCTCATTGGGAATTTTAGGAAAGTGAAAATGGATGGACCTTCGTTTTGAAATTCTTACATCTATATGATGAAAAAAAGTTGCTGACACCCTTATTATCCAAATAAGAAACACCAGGTTTGATAGATAATAATAATAAAAATATTTGGCATAGAAGATCTACACAAATATGTTCGGCTCATTTTGTTCATATTTTTCTCAGAACATAAAAAAGAAATTATTATTATGTCTTTTAATTACAAAATACTACTACAATATCAATTATGATGTTTTTTTATTTAAAGAAGAATAACTCATCTACATTAGCATACTTACATGGCAATAAGAGAATATTGTTTCTTTAAAATTTATTTTTCCCATCACTAACAACAATTAACTCATAAGAGAAAACTAATACAACCTACAAGAGTAACTCATGATGAAGTGACCACGAATCACGTTATTTTATACTAAATATTTTAATTTGAGTGAGCAAATCAATGTTTCTTATTAAGCTCTTGCAGAAGGGAAGTAATTGTATCAACAGTCAACGGTTTCGCATGACAATCATCCAAACCAGCTGCCATGAATGCAAGCTTCTCTGAATCTTGATCACGTGAAGTCATCCCAACAATCATGCTATTCACTCCCATGGCACGAAGCTCCCTTGTTGCCTATAAAATACATTTGAAATATGATGCAAATAGCTAAATTTAGTTGGGGGATGGGGATAGAGAAATAGCCTAAGGTATTTTACTTCATGCAATTATGATCACTCTATAAATGTCTAGTGTAAAGAAACTTGTACTTTTATTAGTGGATTTTAATTACATTTAAGGCTTGGTTTAGTTGAGGTAAATACAAAATTTATCGTATGTAGTTAAGTGTGAGTGTATAGAAATTAGAAGTTTGTATGTAGTGTACGAAATTCTTGAAATTATAAATGTGTCATTGCTTTTAGATCGGCAAAGAAAAAGAGTTATACTAAAATAATCAAGGGAACAGAATACAACAAGCCAAGGGAACAGTAAATTTAGAGAGTTTGTTCTTATTGTCTAAGTCCAATCAACAATGATTAACAACAATTATTAACTTGCAGAAAACATACTTTCAAATGCCATTATAAGAACAAAATGTTAAACCATTTGGCTATTTATTTGTTGCATTAACTCACCCATGATGAATCAATCAATATTATGAACTTTTCAATTTTCATTCCCATATTATGTACAATAATTATCTGTAATTGATGTTTGTTTCTTTTATCAACTTCTAGATGACGGGAAGAACAATGAAAATACAAATCTACATGTACAAAAAATATAATTGAAATGCAATGTATGTGTTCCTTTTCTTTTTCTTTTATTTTGTGAATACTAAATTATGCAAATTAAATCTCATTCTTATCAAGTAATATGAAAGATCATTTTAAGAATGATGATGATGAACTCTTGTTCTTTGAAGATAATAAAAGAAATGATTTATTTTCCTAAAGCATCAATACTTCATATATATTCATATATATGTAAGTTGAGGTGAACCGAATTACCATACTTTTACCTTTTTTCTTTGTTAGCAAAACCTAAATAAATATATAAAATTGTAAGGTAATATATGCATTCTTTTTTATATATCTTCTTATATAACATAGCAAAATATTGTTTAAGTTTGCAGAGAAGAAGAAGAAAAATTAAAAAGAAAGGAAAACAATAATAGTAAAAATAGAAAACTAACCTTTGGACCATCCATGATTGGCATTTTCAAGGACCAAATGGAATGATGCCCTTGAGCGATACAAATCAGCAGCTTCTTTCCCATTTCCCACTACTTGGGTTTCCAATCCAAATCTACGTAATAACACACTATGGATTCTTTGACTTACAGGGTCATCATCCACAATGAGCACACACAACCTTTTTCCTGCTGTGAAGTTACTGTTGGTTCCATCAATCCTCATATTTCCACTTTTATTCACACTCTTTGAACTTGAACTGCCCATTCTAAAGCCATCTTTCTCGCAAATCTCTTTTCTATATGATCATAAATAATAGATCTATAATTTAGTTGAAAGATCATAATCATGAATAAGAAACCAATGCTATATTTCAATATAACACATAGTATAATTCTTCATTAAAATTTAAAAAATAAAAAGTAAAACACTTGTTACAATGAATAACCCCATGCAAGAAAAAAATGTACCAAGAGAATTTTGATGCAACAGTTTATGTTGAGGTTAATCTAACTAATAGATCTATAATTTAGTTGAAAGATGATAATCATGAATAAGCAATAAATGCTTTATCTCAATATAACACGTAGTATGATTCTTCATTAAAATTTTAAAAATAAAAAATAAAACACTTGTCACAAGAAATAACCTCATGCTAGCAAAAAATGCACCACGCAAATTTTGATACAACGCTTTATGTTGAGGTTAATCTGAATAATCGATCTATAATTTAGTTGAAAGATCATAATCATGAATAAGCAATAAATGATGTATCTCAATATAACACATAGTATGATTCTTCATTAACATTTTAGAAATAAAAAATAAAACACTTGTCGTAAGGAATAACCTCATGCTAGCAACAAATGTACCAAGAGAATTTAGATGCAATGGTTTATGTTGAGGTTAATAAAATGTTAATATGCCTAATATAAGTGGATTTAAATCCAAATAACATGTTTTATCCCTCTCGTTTTGTAGGAGAAAAGATGGCGGTGCATTGGGGGAAAAAAAGAGCTTAAAATATATAACAAAAAACAAACAACAATGGGCAAAAAAATATTGAATATACTTATTGTTACAAGGTTGAAAAGATCACACTTGAATTGAAGTACCTGTTTTCCCGTAAAAGCAAATATCGTCCTTGAATGCTAAGCAACAATACTAGCAAGAAGAAAGAGCTTCAATAACATAGGATATGACCAAATATTTTCATATAGTGATACCTACATTGATATAAATATGATGGTTAAATAAGTAATGGCTCTCTTAAATACCTTTCAAAAGGGAATGCCATTGAAAAGATGTGGAAAAATATAATCTATCCCAATAAGATCTCCATAAGTACAATTGGATTTAGCTCTAGTCTGACATTAAATAAAAGTGGTAGGAAAGAATCTACAAAGATATCCAAGATGCAAGTAATGTAATGTAAGGGTTTGAACTTTTTCCACTTTACATGAGAAAGTGTTTACAAAGATGTGTTGCAGATGCATGAGATCTACCAACTTGATCTTTTCCTCTTTATATTAACTTAAAATTGGGAGAAAGAATTTACAAAGATGTGCAAGGTGTGATCTAGCAGATTTTTTTCCACTTTAAGAAAATGAATTGTACATTTTGTTTTCTCATTTATAGTTGTTATCATTCAAATTTTATTGACAATAATTAATTATTTGTAGAATTTTGTGAGTGCATACAATCCGGTCAATAAATTTTTACCTTTTTTTGTTTTTGGTAGAGCTTTTAGTATTGGAAAAAAATTTCAAAGTCAACGGAATATGTGGCATCTTAGCCTCACAATGTTATTTTCACAACATTTTTTTTTATTTTTTTCTCTTTTTTTATTTTTTATTTTTTTTTAAATTATTTGTTTCTCGTGTTTAAAAGTTATTGTGAAGACAATCTTTAGAGGCAAATCTTATGTATTTATGAATTAAGAAAATAATCTCTTGTGGATTAAAAAAAATTGTATTTATGAAGCATATATATTACCACATTGCCCAAGCGTTTTCATTGGTACCCATAGGCCTTTCATGCATCAAATTAGTGATTACCCAAGCACAGATTACCTAAGTACACAGACCAATATATATAACTAAACAACACATGTCACCTATATAGTAAATGTATTAAACTGTACATGTCTTTTTATATTGAACCGGGTAAGACATATAATGATTAATACATATTTCATATATGTAATTGAAAAAAATAAAAACAAAAACCACAACTAGTTGCAACTATAGTTCTATTTTTATCCATGTTTTTATCCTTTTTCTTTTCTTTTGCACCATACATAATTTAAATTTGATTCGTACATATCTTTGCCTTTCTTTTCTTTTATTTGAAAATTTTCTTTTTTCATACGATGAAGTAGACATGAAGCCATGAAAAAAATCAGCATCACCACCCATTTACCAGCGTACACAAACAGTAAAGAAAACTTCTAATCAAAAGAATGGTTCCATATGTATAGCTCGACCTTTTTTACGCCTCCCCCCCTTTCAAGAGGTTCGAAATAAGCCCTACAGTTCCAACTCCTGCAGTTTTGAATCTAATCTCACAAGTCCAAATCCAACAAATCTTTTGGAAAATCGATTTTGAATCAAATTGCCAAAAATGGATTATTTTGCCAGATACAGAGTCGCCACCTAAATACTTCATTCTGGGGACATTTAGAAAACCCATGACTCGTGCCAAAGGCCACGTGTCTGTCATCACCAAGATTGTCTCAGCTCGAGAACTTAGGTACGAGAGGGAAAGGTCATGAATTGAGCACCCCGCTCGCTTGAAAAAAATTTGGCCTCTACTAGTCATGATATGATTTTTATCAACGTTATATGCCCTTGTTCCGGTTTATTAGGCTAGCATTTACTATGTGATGTGCGCACACAAGGTTGTAGCGCCCGACTTTCTTCGCGCCCCCTCCTTTCGGAGAGGGTGCGAATTGGTCTTACTATAGTTTGGACTCCCGTCGCGGTTCTGAATCTAATCTCACAAAGTGCAATATAAGACTGATAAATCACCAAAGAGTCCAAATCTGGCAATTGGTTTTGAAAAATCAATTTTGAATCAAAAAGCGCCAAACATGGACTGCTTTGCCAAATTACAGAGTCGCCACCTAAATATTTTATTTTGGAAAATTTAGGAAACCCTGACTCGTGCCAAAGGTCACATGTCCGTCATCACCAAAGTTGCCTCAGCTCAGGAACTTGGGTACGAGATGGGAAGGTCCTGAAATGAGCACCCCCACTCGCCCGATGAAAGGATCGACCTCTACTAAGCATGATATGTTGTTTTATAAACACATGTGTTCTTATTTCAGTTATTAGCTAACCTACTATGCGATGTGCACATCATATAAGTATAGACTCAATCACGAGAATTGGAACAAAACAACTCATGTTTGTTTTAAAAATGGTTTGAAAGTGTTACTCGCAAGTAGGCTAAAGCGCGGATTTGCCACCCTCAAGTGGGCTTTAAAACGTGATTTTGCCACTTCGCAAAGTGGGCTTAAAACTCACAATCATTGAGTTGTTCCAATTCAGGCAATCAAGCCTTCACCCACAGGCATTCATGCAGTTAATCACTTAAGCAAATAGCCTCATGGCAAGGATGCTAAAGCGTAAAAACTTACAGTGTACTCCAAGCCAAAATAGAAAACTAATTAGAAATCATGCATGATCCTAACTATGTTAAGATGCCTAATGCAACACATGCAATAATGAAACTAAATAGGCTCAACTATCTAAGATGGCATATGAATGCGACAATTTGATAACATGTATTCAAATAGGTATTGAAATACAATGCAGTTTGAATGATGCGCCAAGCCTGGTGCATGCAAGACAAATGAATGAATGCAAACATGCAAGCATAAGGTATGCTAATCAAAACGTGCCCTAATCTAACCATCGAAAGCAGTTAAATAAAAGGAAGAAAGACATAGGGTTGGAATACATGCACACATACGGGCACGCTTATTACAACATTGCGCCCTCGCGAATGGGGTCCGAATAAATAAGCTAAGCTATACTAAGCTCAGCTACTTGTTACAAATAAACTAATTAACTAATTCTAGCTAATTAATTATTACAATCCAAATTGAAATAAATAGCTATGCTAAGCTAATTAGAATATTACAAAACAAATTGAATGATTAATCACACAAACTAATCATAAGCAATGAAATGGCCTCGCGGGCAAGGGAGACACTCATGCTCGGTTGGCGTCCTCCCGGAAATCCATTGCTTTGCCGTCAATTGCCTATGTTTGCAAGTGGCTCAATTTCTGAACATTGAACCAACCTCCACACTGTTTTTGCTCCAAAACAGGATCATTTCTGCACAAAAATGGACTGGTGGCCGGTCGGCTACAAAAAGTGGTTGTCGGCCACCTTAATTGGCCAGTCGGCTAATGAAAGTGGCCGGTCAGCCACCTGCTATTCCAGACTTCTGGTTTTGCTGTAATAGAGGACAACAGAGGCACATCAATGTATTTTGCAGGAAATGTGTGTACTACCACACTCCTTATCATTTCTCAAGCTCAAAGGAGTGTGACGCTCGGCTTTCAAGCCACCAATCAAGCATCTCAATGCATGATGGCCCAAAAACCAAGCTTGTACAATCTTAATGAATGCACAAACAACACAAAGAGCCTCCAACCCTATCATGCATGATCAAAGGGGGTTGGCGACCAAGAAATGTGACATGTTTCTTCACTTTGAGTATGAAACGTCCCACATTTCTTGTGTTTGGATTAACGTCCGATCCAAACACAATGCAATGCACACAACATGCTTATCTTTCGCATGTTTTACTTGGTCCATTTATTGTTTACTCATTTTAACTTACCAAGCCATTCCTTAATTGGTTAAGTCCAATGTGCAAGTCCTTTAAGGAGAGGAGGTCAACCAAAGTAGGGTTTAAAACATGAGAGAGGGAGCATGCCCTTGACTAAGAGGAATCCTCAAAAGAGGGTTAAAGCCATTTGAGCATGAACTCTAACTCACGCTTAAACACAACCTTAAGGCCAACACACCCTCAAAGCAAAAGGAAAAGTGAAGAAATGAGGGTGGTGGCGGAAATTCAGTGCTGAAATGGCGTGCTAAAGACCTTAAAGCATGCAAGCAATACAAGCATAACATGTTGAGGGTCAAAAACATCAAAGCTAGTAAAGAGCATTACACAAGAGGCATACAATACATAGCCTAAATAACCAAATCAGCTCTGGACAGAGCTCAATCATGCCAAATCAGAGGTCAA